TGATTCAAGCTGAAATTGTGTGTCCAAAATTCGCCAATAATTGATTTTGATTGAATAGATTTTGTAAAACTTATTTTAGTTAAAAGTAAGTTTTTAATGTAATATGATTTCAAGTTTAAAAGCAAAAACTCAAAAGTAAAAAAAGACTTACTTGACAGCAAGGTTGGTTATATATACAACAGATGGAGTGTTCTCTTGAAAGAGACGAACAGTAGCTAGTTCATCGGTCTGCAACTTTCTTGGTGTGGTTACAACAAAAGCAGAAGCTGAATCAGGATTTGAAATGAAGAGAGTGAAAGAGAGTGCAATTGAAGTACAGAAAATGAAAATGGAATCTAAGCAGGTTTTAGGTGTCGAGAGGTTTGGAAGTGAAAGTGGTGTTTTGGTTGATGGGGTTTGAGGAGGAGAAGGGGGAGGGTGTAGGAGGAAAAGTGTAGGGTGTGAAATTGAATGGGTTGGTGAATGGAAATGAAGGGATTTGGATTTGGTGATTATAGAGCGAGGAAATGAGGAAGAATGGAAGAAGAATGTGGAAATGAGTGAAGAGGATGAAGAAGCAATGGCCATTGTTTTTTTGAGTGGAGTGAGGATGTTTGTGGTTCTTGCAATGTTGGATTACGTTTTGGCAGGTTTGAGAAGTTCTAGGTTGTAAGCGATTTCAACCGTTCATGTTCAATCAAACGGTTCAAATTATATCATAAATAATTAGAATTATATCCTGTTTTACATTGGGGTTGACTTTATTGATAAATATCAGTGGGATATCGGTGTATTTTTACGGATATCAATATGATATTTGTATTTATAATAAAATAAAATGAAATTTTTAAAAAAAATAATAAATCGTTATTTATAATTCTTTTGATATATATTATTTTTATTTTAGAATTATTGTCAAAAATATTTAGATCAATAGTAAAGTTATTCTATTATTCAATATTTTGATCAGTAATTTAATATTGATCAGTAATTTCATGTTTATGTTATTATTAAATATTTTGATCAGTATTTTATGTTTCTATTAATATTCAATATTTTGATCAATGACTTCATGTTCTTGTTAATGTTCAATATTTTGATTTGTAATTTAATATTTCCGTTAATATTTAATATGTTAATGAGTAACTTCATGTCCCTATTAATATTCAGTATTTTGATAAGTAACTTCATCTTCACGTTAATATTCAATAGTTTGATCAATAACTTCATGTTTCTGTTAATATTCAATATTTTAATTAGTAACTATATGTTCTCGTTAATATTCAATAGTTTTATCAATAATTTCATGACATAAGAATATTGAAACAATAGTTAGGTATGATTACACGTGCGTTCACACAATAATGATGTGTTACTCGTGCATTCGCATGAGTATTGGTGTGTTACACACATTTGTTTTCAATGATATAATAAAAAATAAAATAAATAATTAAAAAACAACACATTTTTCTCGTGTTTAGATTAATATATTATTTTTACTTTTATTTTCTTTAATTGTACAAAATATATAATAACTCGTACATCTTCACGGATAGTGGTGTGATACACACGCTTTTATTTTTAAAATATAAAAAAAATTATAAATAAGAAAAACAAAATAATTTTAACAAAGTAGTTTATTATTTTTAAAATAAAGACATATTTTTAAAATACAATTAAAATTATATTAATTTTTAAAAGAAAGACATTAATAATGTATATTTCAACTATTTATATATTATCTTAAAAATTATGTTATTTTAAATTGAAAATAACTTCAAAATAAAATATTATATACATAAATAATTAAAAAATAATACATATTTGTCGTGTTTGAATTTATATATTATTTTAAATATATTTACTTTATTATCTTTAATTATAAAAAAAATGTAATAATGTGTGTGTTCACACAGATTTTGGTCTGATTACACGTACGTTCACACGGTATTGATGTGTTATCTGTGTATCGTGTTTGGATTAATACATGATCCTTACTTTTATTTTACTTAATTATACCAAAAATATAATAATGTGTGCGTTCGCACGAATTTCAAATGGTTACATGTGCGTTCACACGGTACTAATGTGTGATTTGTAGTGTCGTATGCATGCTTTTGTTTTTAAAATGACAATTTTTGAAAATATATTTCTTTATGTCATGTTTCTATGATCAAAGTCATTAGGAAATAAGCTGGTGGTTAAGTAAGGTTTTAAAAAACAGGTTCACATTTTCAAATTGGCTGAACGTGACCAATTTTTTTTCAATGGAATGATCACTTCCACCATGATTTGCTACCGATGTCTTTTCTTACTTCTTATCACTAAAGTGTTATTTCTAATTTTATTATTCTTTGAGAAGAATATTGTAATTGAGTTATTGCAAATTATATCAGTTTTTCGATATATTCTACGAGCCTTGAGGCTGAAAATGAAGTTGACAAACTATTTAGCTTGTGATGTAGCTTGATAGAACTAATGATAAACTATTTTGATTACTCCTTGCATAATCTTAATGACTTTTCCAGATAGCGTGTTCAACACATTCTTTAGTGTACAGATTGGTGGAGTATTACCTACCTATGAGATCACATCACCAAAACATTTCAGCATCTACTATGTTCAAATTGATGGAAAGATATCAGCACATGTTTCAGCATCCACTATGGGATCAAATTTTTCCTGAACATCATAGATATTAATGTTAGTAATTTCCAACAGATCGAATTTATCAAAGAAACTATAACTATATACTCACGTGACAGATAGCAACAACCTTTGAAAGCAATGTCATTATTTCTGCATGATCAAGCAACTTCCAGTTAATAATCCTCCATTTTACATTAAGACAAGAATTAGTTTCTAAACCTTTTCCTGCATGATGAAACAACTTCCAGTGATACAAAGTACATATGACATTACATGTATTTTATAACCTGCACAGAATATCGTAACACAACATGCAAAGAAAATAAAGTTGCAACATAATATCTCTCTATAAAATAAGCATTACACCTTTTCACATTTAGAATCAACATTTATTATTTGACATGATGAGAAAATGTTAAGTAGTCGGGTAAATTTAAGTTATAGCATAGATCACCAACAACACCAAAAATTAACTCACCACCCTTTTTCGCATTAGGATTCTCGTTGAGCCAAAAAGAGAACACCTTCTCACTGACAAGATTTTGTTCCACCATATTGTACATGTGATTTTATGATATCTGGGTAAATTTAAGTTATAGCAAAGATAGCTAGGTAGTTACTAAAAATGACTGAAGCAAATTCCAACAATGTCTCACCCTGCCTCCCCGTTGCATCTTCAACAACATCAGAGGCAGCAACAACCAGCTTCATCTACTCAACTGCAACAAATATCTATGACCCTAAGCCAACAGCAATTGTCCCAATTGATGCAGCAGAAATCCATGGGTCAGCCTCAGCTTCTTCAACGGTAACATTAAATACATAAATATGCAGGCTTTGGATCTTCATATGTAAATGGTAAGTAATGCAAGGCACAAATCGGTATGTATAAAGACAGAAATGACAAAAAAAAAAAAAGTGAACTAACCTCATTGACATTCAGGCCAAGTGTTTCAAACTTCTTTCCATATTGTTTCCAAGACTTAGTTAAGTTGTTGGTGACAAAAACAATCTTTTTCCCTAAACAAGTTTGTCAAAAGATCCAAATCTCAGTTTGTGCAAAAAAGAAGAATGACATATTGAATATAATGGATAACAATAACATACACAAATCTACTTCTGCTTCGTACTTTTGCCCGAAGCATGTCCAACATTTTATGCACTTCTTCTATTAAGCTATCACATTTCCATATAACTCCTTCAAATCAAGTTTCAAATGAGACAAAAATGTAGGATTACATCAATATAAACCACTTGTTCATCATCGGAAGTCGTTGGAGACACCATCCTAACTGGTGCCACCATCACTACCGTCACAACATTAGTCGTCGTGGCTACTGTCACAATCACAATCGGCGTTCCCGCCTCCGACAATATTTTCCGCCGCTGTATATCACGGAGTAGATTCTTCTCACCTCGTCAGAAACCCTCGTTCGCAAATTCCCAACGGTCAGGTACAACTTTCCGAAATCCCTAGAAAATCGAAACAAAAAATTACCAACAATTTAGAAAACAAAAATTCTACAAAAAATGAAAAATAAGATGAGGAAGAAGCAGAACAAAAGAGAGAGAGAAAAGAAGATAAATAGAGGAAGATGAAATGAAAGAAGTTTGGAGATCGTATCGTATCTGAAACCGTTTTGAATTGAAGATCATGGGAACAGAGGTAGTGAAAAACAAAAATAATTCCAAAAACAATTTCTTTTTCTCCTCTCAAGAAGCCACATGTTGTGATTTTAAAACAAAAGAACAAAATTAACTTTTTAAATAGATCTGATTTTCTTATATTATAGATATCTTATAGTGAAATTGTAATTAAACTCTTATTAATCTTATCTTTGTCATTGAAAGTGGAATAATCTTAATAGATACTTTCATTTTCAAGTTGTTTATTATTCATATTATGATTCATATTTTGAACTTGCAAGTACCTCTTTCATTCATATAGTAGGGTTTCTCTTCATATTAAAAATACAATAGTAGTCTATATATGAAATGCTCAAAAAAACCCTCTCTATTTGTCATGTGCTAAACAGCTACATGTAGTTGGAACTTTCCAAAAGTAAATTTAAACCAGCACAGGACTTGTTTCCATATGATAAATCTACAACTGTGGGAATCATTAATAAAATATGTGGTTCACAATAGCAAAAATTACCGACCAAATGCTGTAAACTAGACTACACCTCAAAACCACGGCAAATTTTCACGTTAGTGTAAAAACTCCCTCTTGCAGCTTCTAGAAATTACAGCAAATTTGTTTTGGTATTGCTGCAGACGTGTGTATCAATACACCAAACGTGCAACTAAACACTGCACATTCTTCTGTAAAACATTTTCATCTATCATCTTAAATACAAAGCTATAATAAGTTACAAAATTTTGTCAAGAGGTCTCAATTCTCTAGGTAGGCCATCGAAATGTCCAGCATCTATGTCAGATTGGAGCATAGGTCGTTTTCCTGTTTGCCAAACAATGCCTTCGGCTAGGTGTTCTTTGCTTGGCGTGAGCATTACGAAGTTGGGATCGGCTCTTTGATAACTGCAAACAAGAGTGTAAATAAACAAGCAAATTTACCAATAGTACGGAGCACAAATTTTATAAATATCTCAATAATTAACATGGCAGAGCTTGGCAAAAAGTAAGATAAAACTGAAAACAATTCTCATTTTTTTAATGCAGAACACAGATGTGTATGAGTCATGATATATTAGCAGAGAATCTATTGAATCAAAACAAAGTATCTTCCAAGGAAATGAACCTGGCTTCTCTGAGACTTTCACTCTGGAGGCCAAATCCATATTGCAATTGGCCGTCTGCACGATCTCTGGTGGCTGAAAAAAAGGGCATTCTCAGCAGGTCAAACATCCAGTATTAAGATGACTATAGAATCACAATTTTTGGAAGAAATGTCTCAAATTATCATATTTAACTTTTGAAAATTTCACAGGAAGAGAAGTTGAGAACAATTCAACATCGTATATATTAGATTTTATATCATCGAACTTGCTGAATGAGGTAGTAGTGGAACACATCATAAACCTAGAATGATCATGGGTGATACTCACGAAAAAAACAACATACCCCATCCCAAAATGTGCTCTGCATGGGTAAAACATGCTTATCCATTGCACCAAATACTTAATCTTTGGTCGGGAGAACTTACTTAGTAAGTTAGTAGTGCATAACATAAAATAGAATGAGCATTCCTTAGAAAACGGAAATGCTCAAGGGAGAAAACATATATTCCACAAAGAATATAGGTATAACAGTTTATCATGAAGGAATAATTTAAACTTCACAAACACCGGGAACAGGGAAGCCTTCTTCCTAGCGCCTCCCCATACAAGCCTAGCGCCTCCCCATACAAGCACAGATGCAAAAGGATGTGAAAAATCTCACTTAAGAAAAAAAAAAAGATACCCGAGCTCAGTCATCGGCTTGAACAATTCTTGGCTAGACTTTACTTACATTTTGGCGGAACTCCAGATTACCGGAGTCCCTTTTCCCTGTGAACTAGAGGGTTTAAGACCAAAAAAACATAGCAAGATTGAACAGAAAAATCCTTCTAGAGACACCTGAAATGTTGAACGTGAAAGAAGGTTTCCACCATGACTTGAATGCAACAGCCAATGTTGAGCTTTTAGGTCCAACTTTTGCCTGAAAATATGATAAATGTTCATTTTGAGTAAATCCTATATGATCAATCTATGACGAAACCTGCCTAACATTACATTAAATATTTACCTTCAGCAAGAAGTTCTTATTGGCTTGCCAGGATGCACCTATTTGAAAAGTGGAATCTGAGATACTGTTTGCTGCTATGGCATCATCAACACTTCAACGCAGACAATTAGATTTACCACATTGGTACAACTGCAAAGAAGTTTGAATATCTTTAAAGCCAAAAGACTACCTTGTTTGTAACTCAAACCCAAAGTCAATGTAGTTTGTAATTCCAACAACAGAATTCTCTTCGAGGGGGTTTTTCACCTGGTCAATTCAAGTATTTGAGTTTTAAAGTATTATATAGATATTCTGATTCAACAATAAATCAAATAGTTTACTAGAACTCAATTCAAGTATTTGAGTTTTAAAGTATTATATATTGATATTCTGATTCAACAATAAATCAAATAGTTTCCTAGAACTCAGCAAAAAAGAATGAATGAGGATGAGCATAAAGTAATCCTAGATGGAACTCTATCTAACTGTCCAAAAAAATTAAATTTAAGAGACAACTAAAATCAAATATATTTAAACATCAGAAGAGTGTTTGTGAAAAAGATAGACGAAAGACAAAGGTTAACTTAAAATACAATTGGAAAAGACAGAGCAAGGGCCAAGGAAACATACCCGTCTTTGAACAACCATATGCTGATAAAATGAGGCAACAAACTGCAGATTGTTTAGAATTCAATTCAGTAAAATCCTTCTTAAAATATTATCAGAATACCACACCCTATCAGGGGAGAAAAATACAAATGAGCAGTTAATTAGCTAGTAGTTTAAATTGCATTATATCATATAGAAGGTTGATACAATATTTAATCTTGATTAAATTGTGATGGTTGGTGAAATGATTTTTTTTTTAATATAACCTATGTTTCACAAATTACAATACTTTCTACTTTAAGAGAAAAACATATTGAAAATATTACCTGCCTACATTTTTTTTCCAAAGAATCAATGTAAAAGATTAATCACTTTAATTATGAAGATTTACCTGAGAGCTTTTGACAAGCTCAAGACTGAAATTGAAAGATGGGCTCAAAGGGCTGCCAGATCCCGCGCCATAACCCATGGCACAACTCCAGTTCATCAAATTTGAAAGTTTTGCATTTGTATCTAAAAAACAGCACCACAATGTATTATGCACATGATTGTTTTATAATATATACAAGTGAGCCTTGAGTTAGTCGTACTAATATATGTTTGTTTTTTATAACTATTTTGGCTCATCCTTTAAGTCCAAATTCCTGAAACTCTTGAAAAAATGATGCATTAGTTCAAGTTCTTCAATCCCCTTTCCCCGCTGACAAACTCTCAGCCTCTGTAGATTGCTTTTTTTTCAGTTCATTACTCTATCTTTAAGTTTTATATAATTGATTGTAATAGGACCCAAACAGAAATCGAAAACTAAACTAACAACCAGAAGAGATAGCCTCTCTTGATTTACTAAGACTAAACTAAGCTGCTTAGAAGGAAAAATGGCAACGGAATAGAGCTGTGCCCCTTGTTAGATGATGATCAATAACAGAATAATAAAAGATAAAAGCCAATTCTGAGAAAGAGCCCACTTCACTATTCAGCCCCAAACCAATTGTTAATCTCTACTTCTGAGAAAGAACCCACTTCTCTATTCCGTCTCAATCTATCAAAGGTACAATATACAACCAGCAAGGATAAGTTCAACATATGCACCATGTTGAAAACCAAACCATAAAAAATAATTTAAAAAGCCCAGCACTGATGTAAAAAAAATCTGAAGATGTTGAAATATTTTTAAAGGAACAAAATCTGCATAGTTCTTACGGTGAGGCTCAAACTGCACCCCTGCTGTTACTCTTCCTATCTTGCTCACCAACCATGCACTTTTTGGTACTTCGTCTTTCTCTGTAAAGTATGACAATTACAATGTTTATAAGCATTGTTAGTGGATGTAGATCATAAATCAATACATGAAAAAACCCATCACACCAATGAAAAATTTAGCAATCTTAGTAAGAACAGTTATAATCTCAAACTTTAAACACAGAGGGACAAAGCGCAAAGTAATATTCCATATCTTCTATTCTTTCAGAAAAAATTACTTACAATTTTAATGAAAGATGTTCAATGTAGACTTCAAGGTAATACTCCAAACTTAAATTGAGAATTTCACACTTATCATTAAGATATACTAGTAACATACAAAAACATCAGTTGCCTTCCTATCTTAGAGTTTAATGCCTATGTAGTGTGGCTGTAACCACGGGCGGGATCTAGCCCTTCTGAGGGCATTCAATTGAACCCTCTGAAATTTTAAAAAAAAAATACACATATACCCTATATATTTTGTATATTGAACCCCCTGAATTAGTTTTTGCACTACTAGCTCAAGGGACCCTGAGTTTGTTTTTTTGCACCCCAGAACCAGGGTCCTGGATCCGCCATTGGCTGTAATGCCTAATACCTCCAACAAGAAATAAGTATACAGTTTAAGTAACCATGAACCAGAAGGGTAGCTTGTGTGTAAATATCATGTGTAAATAAGAACTAGATTCTGTGTTTTGAAAGGGAAAAAAAAAACACTTTTTAGTGAATAATATGTTCAAAAATGTTATAATAATTACACAAGTTTTTTTATAAAGAAAATGAAAATCTCAAAATTAAAATTGGCAGTTCCAGTGCCATTCTGGGAATTAAGAAAGTGTGGCTTTGGGGGAATCTACAACAACAACTAAGCCTTATCCCACTAAGTGGGGTCGGCTACATGGATCAACTTTCGCTTAGTTGATCCATGTCAGAGATTCGACAAAGTTTAACGTTCGTTGTCGACTGCCTAACACAACCCTCTCCTTTTATCCGGGCTTGGGACCGGCTATGTATAGCAAAGCTAACCTAGAAAAAGTAGAATCATACAAGATCTTTTTTCAATGCTTATCGATTGCATCCTAAATCTGCTCAATGCAGCTGGGCAATGGCATAAAACCAGGTAACTTACTGGCAAAAGGCATAAGTGTGACTCCACATGACAGATTTCCCGAACCGTATCTCAATCCCATCAAGCCATAATCTTGGGATGTTTCTCTGTATAATTGGCGAACTTTGTCAACATTGTATGTTGCTATCTGTAATTTAGTGCAAAACTACAAGAACTTAATACGCGCTTCTTCCACCATCATCAAACAAAACACACCTTTTCTTCAATAGCAAAGGGAACACTCCGAAGGCCCCAAATCCAAATCTGGGATAGTAAGCACACGACCTCATCCGCAAAACCCTAAACAAACAAACAAACAAACAAACAAACCACACACAACATTCACACCACTTCAAATCAAACTGATGCAAGCAAATATCAACAGCATTATCATAATATGTTCAAGTCAAAGCCTCTTACGGATCAGATGTCGATACATAAAGGTCCATGAATGTATGAGGATCATTTAAGTCACTGCACAGTAGATGCCCACCAAGTTAAAATAAAATCTCAATATTCACTAAACAAGAAGCATAAACTCCTGCTTTCATCCTCAACTTTGGTATCCATCGTTATCATATTAGTCCACACGCTAGATAAACAGGAACAAGGGAGCGATTGGAAGAGCTTAATTAGACATATCTCATGACATAAATATTTTTAGTAATATTATTTCTTGGATATGCTTTAAAAGATAACTTACACCATGTCATATTTCCAAAAAAGTTGCCAAAAAACTTATGAATAAATGCTTAATTCAGAAAACATTTAGAAGATTTGATTTGATCTAATCTTATGACATAAGCATATGTATAAGTATTATGCAGAGCTGATTAAATAGCTTATGATATCCTCGTAAGCTACTTTCAGCTTATTTTCATATGTTTCAAAGATAGTTTATAGTAAACAAGCTAATACATAGTTTATAGGGTTTATCTAGTGCTTAATTAAGGCGGTTACCCTATCAAACAACCACTAAATTTGGTAACACTATTTCTTAACGAACCAGCATGTTATTATAAAATTTGGTAATACTATTTCTTAACGAATCAGCACGTTATTATAAAATTTACTTGACCGCGCCCTATATGACATCTACTTATTTTTAGAGAAAATGGGAAATGCACTATAAACATAAACTACTTTTACATTGTTGTCTAGTGAAAATCTATTATTTAGTTATTTTTAAAATATGTTTATGTTTAGGTTGGTGGTATGTGATGGAATGGAGTGAAATGGTAAGCAATCAGATTCCATTGTTTGGATTTGTAAATAATGGATGGAGTGAAATGGAATGATGGAATCCATTCCATCCAATATGGAAGGTGTGCAACAGAATGAACTAATTAGTTATGTTCCATTCCGTCAAATTAACAAAAATACTCAAACAATGGAATGAAATATCTTATGCATTTCACTCTGTTCCAATACATTCCATTAGGTTTCGTTCTGATCTGTTCTAGTTCATCAAACCCAACATAAATGGACTTATGTAACAATATAATCAGTTCTAGCTAGATGTCGGCGTAAAATTAACTTACAGAGTGTCAGTGCATCGCTATTAAACTTTACTTTCTAGTCTTCAACCTATGCATGGATTCAAATTTCTTGTTTCTTTTGTGCATTGACTAATAAAACAATTAAATAGAAGAAGAGTATAGAACACCTTTGCCATCGAAACGAAGCATTTCCATTGATGTTTTCTTCAGGCTTTTGATCAAGAGGACCTGAAACCTAAACAAAATTCAAAAAAATTAATTCAAAAAATACACATTATTATTCATTAATTATTAATTTATTCTTGTGATATCAGATTCAGATGAGGATACTGTAGCGATGAGATCGACGTGAGGATCGTCGATTGGCTTAAGCATGATTCTGGTGATGAAATGCCTCGGTTGCTGAAAGTAATCGTTGAAGAGACACCTCAACGCGAGTTTTCCGAAAACGACGTCGTAAGATGATTCCAGCATTCTGTCACGTGCGGCGAGGGGAGGGAAGTCGAAGAGCGGTGGAACTAGAACCACCGGCGGTGGTACTTCCGCCTCTTTCTGAAACCACTTCCACATTGTTGTCGATTTAGGATTTTTCGAGTTTCGCTAATTTGAGAAATTGAAATGGAAATTGAAATTCAGAAGAAGATGAAGTGAAGTTTGTGAGATGGAGATGAAGGGAATTCGACGTTCTCGATATGAATCGGTGGTGGTGGCGCCATTTTCGCACGCTTCACGAAGGTTTCAACTTTGGATGCGCATGTACGGAAATGCCCTTCACAGCTTTTAAAACTTTGGGCCGGGCTTTTCTTTAAAGGGATGCTAGGAGACAACCTCGTAACTTTCTAGCGGGCCTTGCGAAAATACTATAATGCTTCTAAATTTTGAAGATGTATATCCGAACGTATTATATTTTAGTTAAAATATAAGTTATTCCGAAAATGTATATATAGATATATAACAACTTCAGAGATATATTTCAGAAAATTTGTGAGGAAGAAGCGAAAAAATAAAATGAAAAAACAACAATATGACAAAATGAAAATACCATTGATATCATAAAATCAGTAATATCTAAGGGATTTTAACATAGATCAAACATTACACTTCAATATTCATATGGACATTGTAACATCTTGATAATATCATCGATCGGTCTTGAAACAGTCACATACAGCTCGATTGGAACTTTTGATTCTAAACGAAAAAAAGCTTTTTCACGTAGTCCTTAAATCAGAGGTTATCTTTAGCTCATGGGATGGCGAGCATTACTCGATCTTCACAATTTTGTGATTGTCGTCATATGGTAGAAGCTCATGCAGTGTGTATTGTATATGTTCAAGAGGGGTGTACTCCGTAATCTTAAATTCTCTTAATGGTGTATCGCCGGTAAAGTGAATATTTCCAACATGTCAAATAATATTTATTCTGGTTTTTTGTGTTTTGTTATGAAACAATATGAAAAGTGATATATATTTATAGTAGTAGGAGACTAATATGGACCTCAGAAACCTTTCGACATTTCTTCTTGGTCCTTCAACATTGACTGACACACCTCTAAAGTTTAAGTAAAGTTATCCTTTTTTTCGTACTCTAAAAATACAAAACTTATAGAATGAGTCTTCTCAATAGATGTAACACCAACAATTTCAAATAATGGAAGTATGTATTTGTTGGTATTATACATTGAATCAATTATGAGCACGGTAGGAAACGTGTTGGACAACTTTATGGAATCAAGATGGATCCAAAATATATCTCTTACTATTACTCCATCTTCGCATCTTCGATTCCTGGATACTTAATTGTTATCATCTAGAAGTTTCAAGAGGTGTTGCGTTTTAGTTATATCTTCCTAAGTGTTAATTTATATTGATAGCACCTGTTGTACACTTGCTTGATATTTGCGATATTCTCAGATCTTTTACGCTTCAAGGTTGCAAGTATGTTTTTGGGTTGCACAAAATTCAATGTCATGTCACAAACACATTTCTTCTCTTTCGGCCAGAGGTGTCATGCAATTGGATGGTCGGCTAATTTTTCACATAAATTATGGTTACTAAACTACATATTGCTGAGGCGGTAAAGCGGGAAGCAAAAGTAAGCATTTTTATAGGTTATATCATATCGTCACCACATGGATTAGTGCAAGGGAAAAACTATCGTTCAACTGTTTCATTCTCTCTAAGTTTGGATTTAGGTTTTCAGAAGGTAAAATGCGGGAAAAGTAAATAAATCAATAAAAAAAGCGATAAACAATCATCTGTAGCCTAAGAGAATTCATTCTAGAATTACATTTCATTCTACAAGTCAAATACTTAAATTTACAGATCAATTGTACTCAACCTACAATACACATCAAAATCATCAAGTATCACTCACACTAAGGCTATTTCTAACGCAAAGTGAGACATCACCCGTATTGCTCTTAGAGGCAATTTCGCACGCAACTCAAACAACCCATATGCATTTCATAACCGATACCCACAATGATTATTAGCTCTTAACCTATCTCTAGAGTTAAGAAACTAATAAATATCATTCCCTAACCAAGATTCATGAAGTTTATCTCTAGAACAACCCAAACCCTAAACATAAATGCAAAAAGATCAAGGAGCAACATCGATAAAGATTTGTAAAGTGGGTTTTATACAATCCCATGATCAATAAATGTACATACAATAAGAGTAAAATATACATACAAAACCCACCATTAGAATGATACATAGGGAAGAAAGAGATGAATAAGAAACTTCTCACAGTGTTAATGCAATCTGTGCCAACCCATAGTCAATCGAAAAGATGTAGCACCCAATAGTATTGCTTGAATCTCTAAACTACAAAGAATTGGACCAGAGCTCCCCCATGGAGGTGGGAGATGATAAAAACCTAAAAAAATATGTTTTGAGCTATTTATACATAAACTGAAAATCGCAGACTGCACTCAGCGCCAAAATCTGCGTTAAGCGTGTTGTCACTTATTGGACCAAACCGCCTTATGTTGATGAGCATGCTACGAGCACGTTGAGCACGGTCATAGCATGCTAGTGCATTGAGCGCGGTCATAGCATGATGAGCATGCTACGAGCGCGCTGAGCATGCTCAACTCTACCAAAATTTGATTATCAACTCCCAGGGCATGCTAAGTGCCCACAGAGCACGCTAAGCGCGACCTGGGAACCTTATTTTTCCTCCAAAACTCGCATCTTGAAGCTTTATTCGATCCTAAATGCTCTGACCTTCAACCATGTGATAAATCCTACAAAAAATGGGACAAGACTATCAAACGATATAATATTTACACGAAAACTCGATTAAGCACAATTTATACATATTTACTAACTAAGCGGGGAATTATTCAAAAAATATTTACAAAAGAACTGATAAGTGTCGCAAATTACATACACAGAATACTGACATCTTGGAACTTATCAACTCTCCCTAAATTGAACTTGTTTGTTCTCAAACAAGGCCAAATAACTCAAAAAACAAAAGTAATTAACCAAAGAATCGTGAATCAACAAGTTTTTAAAACGGAAAACAAATGTATGGTTCAAACAAAAACGCACACAACAAGGTAAAACTTACCACAATCCTACAATGACAACATGTAAATGAAACGAATCCTAAGTAGAAAAATCATATTAAACATTCTAAAACAAAACAACTTGATTATGAATCACGCCTAGCAAAAATTTATCGGTAGATGAAGAACACACAAAGGTGGGAAGCATTGACACTCATCTATAATCTTGTAAATAATAGACTAAATTATGCATTTATCTAAAAATTCACATTGAAAATATAAAGGCAAGAATCACCAGGACTTTTAAAGGTTATAATGTGGCTTGGTTATCAAACAAGGGGTAATCCCTAAAGCTAATCAAAACAAAAACTTGCCTAAACTTAAGGGAGTGATCAGCTCACAAAAGTTCAAACACAAAATTTCAATCAAACTTTTTCATAGTCCTAAATTTCACAAACCAATCACAATACTTATTAACACAATATTATTACATGCTTTTTTTGTTTTTCTTTTTCAAAGCTTTTTCAAAAAAAATTTCTTTTTCTTTTCTTTCTCTTTCTCTTTTCTTTTCTTTTTCTTTCTCTTTCTCTTTTCTTTTCTTTTCCTTTTCTTTATCTTTCTCTTTTATTTTCTTTTCTTTTTCTTTCACAACCGCATAGCAAACAACAACATAAGTGAGCAAACATTGCTCTTCCCAACTTGAATTTAACCAACATTAAAGTGAATACTCCCTACTTTCTAAGGCAAGGTAAAAATTGAAACCATAAATCATGGTTGAGGGTTCAAGAAAAAAAGAATCAACATTTATTCCAAAAGGAAAACCAAACACTCATAGACAAGCATTAAGTTCAAAAACAACATGGACATTGACAAAAAGAATCAACGATGTTAACAAAAGTTCACACACTTACAAGGTGAATTGACTATTTGGCTAAGTAGTTGTGCTCAAAATCAAACAAAATGCCTTGATTATTTTCATGCTTTCATACAATCAACACAAATAAAAGATTAAACATAATGAAATCCGGTTAAAACAAGAATGTGGCCTCCAGCAAATATGAACAATGGAAAGCTTCCTCACATTTATGGGTAAAGAGGGAACTAAAGTGATTCAATCAAAATGCAAGTAATGCAAAAAGAATAAATGGTATAATTATACAAATAAAAAGTTTCCTAAACATGTTATGATATAGAAAACGATAAATGCGTACCTGGAGTGTATCGACTTTGAAAACTATCATTACCATACATATGCAAGTTGAATTAATCAAAATCGGAAAATCACCTCGAAATTCTTCAAGTTACCAGACCAAAATTGGAGTCCAAACAACAACAAAAATTATTAGAAAAATAATACTAATGTTATTTACTACTACAAAGTCTTGGTGAAAGTGGGAAAAAGGACGGCCGAGTGAAATAAAAAGAGTTCAATGGTGCATCACAGTAGAGCGCGTTAAGCGCCAAAATACGTGCTAAGCGTGCTACACCAGTAGCAAAAAAATAGATAACAAAAACATGTATTTCTAATACAACATTCACAATCACCTACACTATCTCAATTACACATCTACACAAAGTTTACACATACAAATTTCCTTAAGCTAATAAAAAATAAGCTTTTGGAGAACGCAACAAAACAAATACTATTAACAAATTACAAGACCGGGTGAAAATGAATAAACAAGTTGAAAATTGGAGATTTGAGAGTTTTAAGAACTGGTCCAATTTCAACTTGTTTAAACAACACTTACCACACTACCTAAACTACTATAATGAAAAACACTATACAAACTAAAATAGAAAAATGTGCTTGTTTTATGCCATAAGTTCAACGCCTGTTATTTACAACCATTTCACATCGTTTTAGATGGGTTAAATGCTTTCACTCACGCCTTTGCTTAAATATCTCCAAGCTCTAATCGGAACTATACACCTAACCACACTTTTGACAAATGTGAAATAAAACAAGTATATTATATACAAATGTATAAATTAATTAAATGTACAAAATAGACAAGTATGGAGAAAATGTACAAATATATAATATAGA